ACAGCTAATCCAAATGTGGACTCAAAAATAAATAGTGACAGAGCATTCAGCTCCCACTGGGCTGTCCTTTCAGCATTGCCTCTGCCTTCGCTTTGTTCTGAGTGGTGCTCTCGATGGCACAGGGTTGGACTCAAAGGAGATAAAAATGATTGAGCCACTCAAGGATTTAGGTGAGAGAAAAGCCACTCTCGCCCTATCTGCTCCAGCTGTTTCTGCTTTTCCTTGGGGTGCTGCCTTATGGTTATTCATCTCTCCCTGCTTTCACCCCTCTTCCCAACCACAGCACTCTCCAACCCACTCTTCCTTTGTGGCAGCTGGTGCCCTCCCTGTCACCCCTTCCTTGTGTTCCCACACAGGGAGGGTTTTAACAGGGTTTTAGTGCTGCCTTCCTCAATTGAGGAAAGATTGAAAGATCTCTTCAGGGATGTTTAAAAACCATGCACTTCTCAGACCAGATTTTTTTCTGGAACAGTGTGACACTGAGGCATAGCTGCACGGAGCTGGAGGAGATGTCCCTGCTGATGGGACCACCCACTGTCTCTGCTCTCCAACGTGGGGTTTGTGACCCAGCACTTGACCTTGCTACACATCCTCCCAAAGCCAGTCCATGTTACAAGTGAACACCAGGAACAACAGAGATGATAACAGTACTTGTCCAACGTGTCACTTTCTACATAGATTCAAATCAATTTACAACTGACAAAGCACAGAAAGCTAAAAATGTCTGCAGAGCCTTGACAGGCAAAGGGGACAATTATCCCCAGCAACTGCAATGTGCCAAGAGAGGCATTGCCTCGTGCTTTGATTATAAACCCAGCAGCACCAAAACATGGGAGAAATGGGGCTGGTTTTTCACTCTGCCAGCTCAAGGTGGCCTCTGCCAGGTAGAGCAGGGGGACTGGCACAGCCTTTGAATGAGGTGAATGAGGAATCTGAGCCACATTCTCAGGGCTCTTGGAGGTGGCCCAGAAGGTCACCAAAGAAGAAAGGATGTGACTCTTATTTGCAGCAACAAGCAGCAGCTCCCTCTCTTGTAGCTGATCTGTGTATGCAAGAATTTCTTCAAAAAGTGGTCATTTTGATCAGCTAAGTCACCTGGGATGAAACAAGTTATCATGGAGATAGAAATGGATAGAAAGAGGCTTTGGGGAAAAAGAAGGAAGAGAAGTCAAAAAGATAAGCAGAAGTATAGACTATAAAGTCTGCTCTATAGGTAGTGGACTACCTAGACTCATAACAGGCAGGTAGCTCTTGGAGCCAGGTAGGAAAGAACCTGAGGGCTTAAAGAAAAAATTGAACAATAAGGCTTGAAATTTTTTCCACAAAACATAAAATCAGTACAGGAGAAAAAAAGATCATGACATGCAAATCTGGATGATTTAGAGGTTACCTTGGAATATTTAATTTTGAAGTGAGTACTGGATGTCATCATGTAGTAAAGAAGTATGACTCAGATTTTCTGAACAACCCTTTGACTAATGTGTAATACTGGGCAGAAGGATTTAATAATTATAAGGGATGGCCTGAAGTTAAAAAAAGTTTGTCTTCGAAAACAAACCATAAGCCCATGTATTCTGCACATAGCTAAGTTACACCCATGTGATGGCTTCAGTTGTATCTAGCAGTCTCATCTTTCTCCTTGGGACATGGAGCATCTTAGCCACATTTGTGCCAGTGGAGTGCAGTGAGATCTGTCCCAGGCACGATCCTCCTTTAATTCAAAAACCAAGTGGGATGCTCAGCCCTCAGCTCAAGGGAGATTTAGGAGAAAGGCCAGAAACAGAGGTGAAATCATTAATGCAGCATCATTAGCGATCAGTCTTCCTGAACTCATTAGTACATTAGCACCAGCTCCCCATTGTCCAGTTTTCCCTTGCTGTAATGAGGAACCCCAAATTCAAGGTCGTTTGCTGGCTGGATTAGTCACTGAGTGCACCAGGAGCTCCTGGGATACTCCAACAAGAGCAGTTATTTATGTCATTCTGTCCCACGCCGTGCTCATTAGCTCACAGTACAGCAAGGTCTGGTCACGAGGCAGAAATACACCGTTTGACATCGCTGTTGCTGCTTCACGATTTAGTGTTGCTGCTGGCAGGGCGTTAAATGTTCCCTAAGTGGTAACTGTCTTCCACTAATGTGAATGCATTTCTTTTATAAGTTAACTTATTGCTTTTCCTCTTAGTCCATGCTGGCTGTTCTTCTGCTCTGGCCACAGATAAGTGGAATTCAGGCAAGCAGGCACTGGGCCCTGCAGGGAAAAGAAGTATTTTGAGGAAACATTGCTCCATGAATAGTGTCACAACATGAGAATTGCCAGTTTGGTGCTGATCTGCTCAATTTTAACAACCCCACTGGATTTTTACTCAACCTCTCCCTGGTGCAACCCCACTTCCATCTACCCCTTCACACTGCAATGGGCCATACCTGGGAGCTGGATGTTTCAGGCTCTGTTTTTGTTCTGATTCTGGCTCTTACATTACTTCCATACCAGGATTAGCAAACTCCCCAGGGTCATCTCTGGATGCAGACAGGAGAATCTCAGCTTAGCAGTTAACTGCATAGCTGTGAGTAGGAAACAGCAGATGTTGCACCATAGAGCTAACCTTTGCCTAAAGGAGACACAAATTTAGCGACTTCCATCTGACTTCTGGAGTAGCTTCCATGATGTCATCAGAGTTAGGATTTTACACAAGATTAAGTGTGCAATTGTGTGTTAAACAGTGACCGTTAGCTCAGATTGCCCAGCTAATGAAGCAGGCAGCATTAACACCATCACATATGGTCTGCTTCTAGGCACCGGTGCCATGAGGGACTCTGAAATCTCTCTGACGTTAGAAGAGGAAGGACACCTCTCTTCCCTTCTGGCATCACCCCAGTGGGGCAGCCCCTCACTGCCAGCCATCACCAGCCATCACCCTCTGGCTCTCTCGTGATGTGCTCTGGAGCTTGTGGGTCTACTCCTTGCCCAGGAAGGACAAGGACTCAAGCAGGCAGCAGAAGCTGCTGATCTCTTTTAACGAGTGCCCAGGGTTTTCCTAATTAGGAACAGACTCTGATAGCACTCACCACCATCTCTGGGAGCAATCAGGACATAGTAGTCCAGCCAGCCAGGCTTTCCATCCTGTACCCTCAAGGCAGCAGTGGTAAATACAAACATCGTTTTATTTTCCAGCAGTAAGGAGCCCCGGGACTGAGCCTGGCAGAGGTCTCAGACCAAATGCCATCATAGCCTCCAGGTAGATGCTCTGCACTCTCCTGAACTGCTCAGTGCAGAAGCACCAGAGTAGGATTAGACCCAATATCTCACAACACAAATTTATGTCTGTGATCCCTATAAAAACACTTCTTAGCTGGTGGCTGATAGATGCTATTTCACCTTCTAAACTACAGTTATTACAGGAAGGAAGGACTTCTTCTTGTTGATTCCCCAGTACTTACCTACTGTGGTTGTAAGAAAGAAAAGAGGCTTTACTGGCACAAAGACCTGCAGAGATGACAATATACATGAAGAAAAGACTAGAGAAGAGTCCATTTCCATTGCCTCCCTTCTTTGGAACCACTGTCTTGTCCAGTTTACTGTGCATGAATGCAGCACAAAGCCATGCCAGATAGTACTCAGCCATGTCACCCAGCAGCCCATCTGTGTACACATGGATTCTGGCTCCCTGCCATGCCTGTCTTTCCCTGCAGCCACCTCAGCTGGATTTCAGTATTCTCCCAGGTTCATCGCTATGCAAATATTGAAATCACCGTGTTTACGTACATAGTGGCATTACAGACTTTTCCAGGAAAGGAGCACTGAGGAGTTCACGTGCCTTCTCTGATGGCAGCATCAACAGCTGGGTGTATTTTTCAGTGAGTTCCAGTGTATGAACTCCTCCATTAAAGCATTCAAAATCCTGCATATTTCATTTTTTTCTTTAACTTTTCTCACAAACACCCGAAAGCACAAAGTGCTAAGCAAAGAAGTAACGTGAAATACAGTGAATCTGTATGGCCCAATCTCCAGAAATGGAGATTATAGCCAACTTCACTGCACTCAGATGAGCAGATTTGGAGAAATTGTGAGGGGAGTGGAAGCTCCACTGGCAATATCCATATTACTTATGCAATTATTTAACTGCAATCCATAAGGATAGTTATTCATATTCAATTAATCCAGGGTATCCACAATCTTCTAGGACGAGATATAGCAAATATGCCTTAAATCAGGGCAGTTCTGCAGGTCCAGACAAAAGAGAAATACTTCCTGAGGTCCATTCGATGCTGTATTTCACATTTGTGAGATCTAATTGCAGTAAAGGGTTAAAGTTGAAATGAAACCTCTGAGACTGGAGAAGGCATCACCTGTCTGATGCCCCTGTGAAACACAGAAGCCCCAGGCAGGAGCTTATTCTGTGGGATGTTAGAGAAATCTCTTGAAAAGTGATATTGGAAGAAAAATCCCTGAAGCCCAGGTTGAAATATCAAGCAAATCATACTTCTTTAGCTTCAGAGAAAGCTCTACCCGATCTGGCCAAATGGTTTTGAGACAGTAATTTTTCTGTGGGAAAAGACATCTTTGTCACATCAGATACAATTCCATAAAACACTGCATTTATGTCTCATACTTCTGCCTCATTCAGACACCTTTCCTGAAAACCTCATCTCACTGAGGGCCATTGTGTAGCCAATAAATTGCAATAAGCATGCATTTGCTTAAACAGCCACTTTCTCCCAACAAAATGCCACCATAACATTGGATGCAGCTATTACCTTTTCTTAAACTGCCAATGATTTCTTGTTCATGGTGCAAAGCCTGCAAACTGTGCAGCATATTTTACCAGGGGGCAAACAAAATTTATCCTTCATTCCCTCTGCCAATTTGCCATTCTCACTACTTTACATTTCAGCTCAAGTTTATCAAATAATCCCTCCTGGGCGCAGCCACGGCAGATCTGGGTGTGACTTGGTCTGCTGCACTGGGTGGGCAGTGACAAAAACTATCACTCTTCCCCTAGGTCCTTCCATCGCCCCACTGCAGCAAGCAAAGCCAACACCGGGCAACCCTCTAAAATGTTTATTTGGACCAGTGGCCGGAGCTCTACATCTTACAGACACGATGAGAAAAGGTAAATGGCATCAATAATGATTGTTCTCTGATGGGTTTGGAATCTCTAGGACCACGACCTGTCACTGCTCTATAGCGGTGGCACTTGGGGAGGGAGGAGGGATACAAAGCCTCTTGTTCCCTCAGCTGCTCTTCTGAAGGCCAGCTCCGAGGTTACCACAGCACACAGCACACTTATTCCCAGCACAGATTTGCAGTCACGGCTCCAAGCCTTTCACAGGTGTCCTGCTCCCTGCCCACAGCACATACACGCCCTGCTCCAGGCACAGCTCACAGCCTCCTCTTTTCCAGCCGCCTCTCCCCCAGTCACCTGTGCCTTTTACACATCTACGTGATGCCAGAGATGCTTCCTGTTTCTATGCATGCACATGTGGGAAGCATGTGTGCATGACACTGCACAGCAGCTGGGTGATGGCAAACAGCTGGAAAAGTTGCTGGGCTTCTGGTCCAGCCCAGTTCAGCAGCACTGCTGCAGGAAATAGGCTGATGGACAGGGGAATACTGAGTCTCACACAGGGAATTGCACAGAAGAGAGGGAAATGGAAGGAGAGGTTTTAAGTCTACAAAGGCAGCACTCAATTGGGAATGAGAGAAGTTAAATATCATTTCTGAGAGAACAATTGTCAGTAATGCTCAGGCTCATCCTTCCAAAATCTCTCTGCTTTGTAGTGAGATTTGCTGGGCAGCTCATCTTGTCACCACCAAACACATTTCCCCTTCCTTTCTTTCCCCCTTCTCCCTTGTCTCCTCTCCTTCAGCTCTCCTTGCAGTCACTATTAACTGCAATCACAAAACATCAGACTCAAGTGAAACAAAACCAGAGGTCAGTGCAGCTACAGTGCCAATCAGCAAAACACACTTGTTAGTTATTCTAATGAGACATTACTGCTGGCATCTGCCTAGGAAAATGGGTTTTGAGTCCAGGTACTACAGCTGCCTGCAGGATGTTGGGTTTCTTTGGAGGACTGGCTAATTCACTGAACTCTGTTGCAAATTCCACAAGGGTGCTCAGCTCTTTGGATAATCCAATCCCAAATAGGTATTTTGAGGACTTGAGCTTAGCAGCAGGTTTCCATGGACATTCAGTTGGAGCTGGACATCTAACTGCTTCCTGTACTTCTGCAAGTCTCTTCTATAATTGAGTTTTCCCCAGGCTTATGTTCTTCTACCCCTATGTACCAGCCGTGACAATTCCAGGTACCTTTTCAAGCCATCAGAAGGGATTGAAGGAAGAGAAAATGAGAACAGGAGAGTGCTGACTGCAGCCTCAGGACTGCAGAAGAGAGGTGTGAACATGGAACAAGTGCTCACGACGGGAGGAACTCACCCGTAGCTGTCTGATGGCGATTTTAACACGCGTAAGGTCACTGGCAGCAGCACCACGTCGTACAGTCAGTACATTTCAGACAGATAACATCCCCTAAATGACCCTTTCCTAGGAATCCTGTGCTCATTAAGCTTCAGACAGAAAGGCTGTCAGCTGGAGCAGCAAACTTATGCCAGCAAACAACAGTCTGCTGCAGCAGTGGGTCACTTGCTGGGGGATAATTGCTTCCTCCAGGGTGGGGAGTCTCTCTCGGGCATCTGCTTTGGTAGCGCCAAGGCCAAGAAGTGCATTCATTGCTATGTTTGAGAAATCTGCTGCTCCCCAACTGCCACTTCCTAGGCTTTGGAAACCTAGCCAAGACCTCATTACTTCTCAGCTGTTCATTATCTTTTCCACAATGCTATAAGCTTGGAAAACCAAAGCACAATTCAGTTTGGCCTCTTTTGGAGGTGACAAGGTAGGGAATTGAGTGAAGTCCATTCTTAGTGATAGGAACGACCAGAGAGGTTCATGTACGAGTTCCAGGGACATATCCTCTTGCAGTACTTCAGATAATAAGAATTGATGCAACAAAGCATCCCCAGTAAGGAAAAATGTAAATACATTGGATTATAAGTAGAAAAGCCCCTGAGCAGTAGAAATTCAGTGATTAATATATGAGAGGTTTTTGACCTTTTTCTTCAAGGACTTCTGCTATCAGTAGATATCAGAAGTATGACTTCTGCATAATAACTGTGATATCAGAGAAGAAAACGTAGGTTCAAAGTCACTCTGAATATTCCCAGCAGACAGGAATCTCAACAGCCCCGCAGCCCACAGAGCAGGTGGGAAGCAAGCGACAAGCCTTGTCCTTCTCATTACCTACTACTAAAATATCTGTCCCCAGCGATGGCAGAGAAAAATCTTGGCTGCAGCAAATGGGAGCAGCTCTGCAGAAGATAGGGAACTTCTTTATGAAGGTGATTAGGCACTGTATTTCTCCTTGGCTGTAGCATTCAGGCCGACTAACGTAACACACACCCTCCTCTCCCTTCATCTGATGGCTTCATAAGGAGCTGCTGACCACCCTGCAGTGGGATCCCCTCTTTGCTGCCACATCCACAGAGGGACCGCTCTGCTCTGTCCCCCACAGGCAAGGCCACAGCTCAGGTTTCCTCTCTGGTAGTTGAATCAGGGGAGAGTAGCCAGCCCATATCCTGTGAGCAATTTGGCAAAGGGAACATTTCAGCTTGAAAATGATGATGAGAGCAAAGACCTTTTGTCCTTGGAGGTTTGCTTTCTATTAAATGTCTTTACAGGAGGCGGAGAGACCTTGTGTTTTGACAGCTGTGACATCTTTAAAAACAAAATACACCCACTTCCACACCACTATCATATTTGGGGAGTTGCCACAGGTAATCACAATTATTAGATGGAGTCTGTGAGATAAGCAGTGATCCGTGTGCTGACAGCCCTGGGGTGCAGCATCAGCCAGCCAAGCACAGCACCCCTCCAGCTCTCCCAGTCAATAAGTGCCAAAAGTTCATATATGCTTAAAACCCATTCCACACAGCAGCAAACTCACAGGCAGGGTAACACAGCTGCTAAGGCGATGCTCAGGCTGCCCTGCTGCAGCAAAATATTCTACTCGCCTTTTAGCCCATCTTTTTCTAACTCACGCTCTTGGCTCAAGGCCACATAGGAAGCATTTGCAACCATTCTCAATTAGCTATTTGTTTTTAAATTGTCCATTTGTATCCCTTTTATGTCCTAGCTGCTCTGGTGACACTGGTGAGCGATGGCTCTGTGTTTTATGTCTACGCGCTGACATAAGTTATGCTGTGTGATGGGGTAATGTTCTGGAACTGCATGACAGTTTCTGCCTTCCTGCCTGCTTCCATTTGAAAGCAATGCAAATTGTAATAGCAGCTCTCAGAGTTAAACACAGATTGACAAATAATCATAAAAAAGTAGCATCAGATTATTACTCTACGTCACTTATTTGAAGGCAATGGCATCCACCACTTCACAATACATTTTTCTCCCCAGCACCAGGGAAAATTTTGACAGGCAGAATTACCATTTCATTCCCAACTAGAAAAACACTGACAAGCTTCAAAGGACGGTTTGGAAGAGAAACCGCAGACAGCCAAAGGAGTAAATTACAGGAGGATGAAGAAACCTCAAGAGGTCTTACTTATGGGGGATTGATGGCAGTAGCATCTAAGCACAATTCTTACTGTAAAACCCCACACCTCCTGTGCTTTGCATGACTATGACTCATCACCTAAACACAAATTCAATTCCATTTTTAAGGAGTTTGTGATTAAACGTGTTTTTTTTTCTTGTTTTTACTATGCTTTTGTATGATTTTCCATCTGTCTCGACTGTGTCCCTTCTGGTGGATGTAAGTGATACAGTTGGTCTTTCGTCACACAGTGCTTTTTTCCAAGGTTGAGTGAAAGTTGGTGGTTCAGTTTAAAGGAATGGAAGGTTTGCAGTGATGTTGATGTTGCTCACCTGCCATTTTGCAGACAGTAGAAGAGGAACCTCTTCCACGTGTACTACCATGTCCATGTTATGGTGGTGCCAGGGCTCAGAGGTGTGCGGTTCTCACGCTTCGAGTGCTGCCTGGATGATTCTAAAGAACCGTAACAGAAAACACAGGAGATTTTGACCAGCCTCAGGTCTGTAAGTACATTTTAAACCCACAAAGTTTGAGTGTGTTTGAAATGTACTCAAATATTTTCTTCTTCACCATTGTGTCCTATGACCCATCGAATCATCAAAGGCTCAGAGATGAAAGGAGGACTTACGGTTAGAAAATGGAAAGGACTCTGCTGAAGGGGGAATGGTCTGTTGTATCTGCTTTTTTTTAATCCCAGAACAAATAGCTTTAGTGAATAATTTTCTGCCAGAGTTTTCAATGTAATGAGTAACGGAGCTTCCAGAAAGATATTTTTTAAATAAAGCAAATAAGCTCTCAATCAAATAAACCCACAGAAATCAACTGCAAAATCCCCAAAGTGTTTCATGAGTCTTGAGCTGCAATCAGGGCTGAACTTTTCCCAAACCACTAACCTGTAGGGAATCAGAAAAGAAAGCTGTCCCTTCACAAAATGTCAGTGACTACTTCTGCAAATTATATCCTGCATACAGGAACATAAGTCTTGTTACCATATTTGACTGAAGACAAGACACCTTACATACCCAAATGTGTTATAGTACCCTAAATTGGCACTGAGAAATCAAATTCATCTATATCATAAATATTCTGAGCCAATGAAGCTGCACCAAAGAAGGACCTACTGAGCTGGCACAAGTGTCTAATCTTTATATTTGCAATAAGAGGTTTTTACCTTCTCAGAAATGGCTGTAATTTGTTTTGGAGATGAATTAATTTCCACCAGGTCAGAGTGAATCCACTGAATAAGGACACCTGAGGACCCTTAAGCCTTTCTCTCCCACAAGATGGGTATGGAGGTGGAACTGCCCACCCTAAAGAGGATTCATTGACTAAACGAACTTCACATAAAAATATATTATTTTCAACCTCAGAAATATTTACCAAAAAATCAGGGATCATGATCTACTGGACAAAAGGAAAACAGTCACAGCCCTAAAAGCTGGAGAAGACCGGGCCATACTCCTCGGGCTGGCCATGATGGTGTGCTCTATCATGATGTACTTCCTCCTGGGAATCACCCTGCTGCGGTCCTACATGCAAAGGTAATTTTGGTGTGGTTACCCTGACCTCACACACCCTGCTCCAGCTGACTTATCACGGCTTGTTCTCATGACTGGTTTTATTAAAGTTGCATAACTTCTCTTTTGGTCAACAAAGATCATATTCTGCATTTCATTTCCGTAAAATAAATTAGGCATAACGACAGTGAGAGCAAGCTGAGCAGTGCAGGCATAAGTGAGGGAAAATTTAGATCCCTGTTTGACGAAATCTGATCCATAGGCTTTAGCCTTGCTGCAGTTTAACACAACCATAATATCCACATCAGCTGTTCTGCTGCCTGCTGAAACCTGTCAGACCCCCAGTGCTTTGCTATAAAGCCCAGACAAAATCCGGAGAGAGCAAAAGTATTTAGCGGCCTTGAGAAACAATGCACTTTCAAATGAAAAATGGAGAATTAATTTGGAAAGAAATCCAGCTGCTTTAGAACATGTTGTTTTCCATGTGGGTTACTGCTTTCACATTTAACAAGTGAAATCCTCCCAGAACACAGCAATTTGTGAAAGTGAAATATCGTCTTTCATCTTTATTGCATGTATTTAATTTTTCCAAGGCCTTCTCTGGCTTCTTTCTCTGCAACAGAGCAGAAATTTTGGCCTGTGATTCATTAACAGTATTTGAAAGCAGATTTCAAGCACCAGCCCTATTTAAAATCCATCCCATACAGAAATAAGAGTGTCAACAATGGTTTTTCCACTCCAACCAGCAAAGTTATGGGGATGAAAAACATGTAATTGTGGATCAAAATGGCGGTCTGCAAGCCCAAAACTTGGCACACGTTGGCTTATCAACAACAGAGTCTGTATTACGGTATTCACAATAAGTGCCTGAAGTTAACTGGTACGAATATCCTCAATTATATCACTGCAAAAATTGAAAATCATTCCTCAACCCTGCCATGATAAGGAAAAAGAACCATTACACATGAGGATGAACTGAATGCCAGCCAGCATCTTATTTGTGCAATAAAAGTATTTACCCCTTCTTAAGTCCAAGCAAAGTTTAGATTTCTGGAGACAGGGATCGAGGCCTTTTAAGTATCTCAGAGCATCTGCATTTCCAAACTGTCCTCACAGACCTGTCAGCAGTATCAGGGTCAATTGCAGAGGCTGCTAAGGTCAAAATTGCTCGTGTGGAAAGCTGATTTATATAACAAACTATGTGAAAAAATGCCTGAAGCACCTATGAAGTATCAAATATTCCAACTTCACAAGTCTCCCATGGATAGGTGTTACAGTACTACCCCCACCTGTGCATAAAACAGCAGTCAAAGGGAAAAGTGAGTAAAAGAAGAGTTTCTGCAGGTCTCTGCTAGTGAATGCCCATATCCCAGCAATGAGAGGTTGTCCTTCTTGAGCTGAGCTGGATGCCATGGTTAATGGTTGAGGCTCAGCTCATGGCATCCCTTCACAGCCCCACTTGTTATGCACTCTCCCTGGAGCACGCTGCTCCGTATCCTTCTCTGCTGATTTCTTTTTATCTTTATAGACCTTCTTCAGACTGAGACCCAGTTCCCTTTTCATCTACATACATAAATTAGTGAATAGAGATATCTTCCCAAACATTAGGCGCTGCGGAATAACACAAGAAAGTCCAGCCCTTTCAAAGGGCTCAAAGCCCTTCAAGATTCCCCTCATATATCCCCAATGGAAATTCTGAGCTGCAGTCGGTGCTTATCACCCATTCTAGCCATGCTCTGACATCTCCTTTTTTCTGCTTTAGTGTCTGGACAGAAGAAGCTCAGTGCTCGCTTCTCAACGCATCCATCACTGAAACCTTCAACTGCTCGTTTAGCTGCGGCCCGGACTGCTGGAAAATCTCTCAGTACCCCTGCCTGCAGGTGTACGTCAATCTCACTTCTTCTGGCCAGAAGCTTCTGCTCTACCACACCGAAGAAACAATGAAAATCAATTCTGAGGTAGGAGCACGGAATGAAATTTCTTCCTAAATGGATTTCTGGAGGGCTGCTCACTGTGTTATAGCCGTTCCCTGTTTAAACGTGATATAAGGCTTGCAGCTCCTACTTCCCTGTTAAATGCAGAGCAGAGAGCAGTGCCCAGACAGAGCTTCCATCTCTGAAGGGGAACATTCTCCTCCACCCCATGCAGACAGCACATTCTGGAGTGCCACACCTGAGGCTGGAGCCTCCTCTCATCCCTCCCTCCCCTCCCCCCAGTGCTGGGGTCACAGATGGTGCAAAGATGCTGATGGTTTACATAAAAGAGACTGTCAAGACTAAAGATGGAGATAAAAAAATAAAAGGCAGACTAAGATGCTGGCCCATTTTCTCACACCATTTCCCCAATTCCAGACTTTGAAAGCAGAAATATTTTTAACAGAAGAACTCCTCTCTGCTTCAGCAAGTGTGACACCCAGCACGACTCAGTCCAGGTGGGACACAGACAGCTCCTGCCTGCAGGCTGCGATGCAGGCAGCAGGCACGCAGGCAGCAGGCGCACAGACGGCACGCAGGCAGCGCCGCTCCGAGCAGCGCCTGCTCACAGGTGGCTGCGAGCCGCCTCTGCGATGCTGAGTATGGGGCTCTGACACGCGCCTCTCTCATCTCCCCTTCTGCACATCGCCAGCATTGGGTGCCAAAGACCACAGGCTGCAGCAAGATGGGATGCAGCTCAGTCACGAGGCTTTAAATTCTTAGTTATCCAAGGTCACTGAACCCCAAACTACAGACTACAGTGCTGCAGTCCGCAATGGCAGAGCCCATGTTCGAGCAGCTGACAGCCTAACCTATTGTATTTCTATTTATGGCAGCAGTTCAGGAGACCAAATTACTTCTGTATATTAAGATGAAGTGATATTAAAATGAGTCAAAGCATCGAGTGGTTGCACAGGGTGGTTATTCTGCTGGATAATTAGCTCCTGTGGCTGAGAAACAAAGTCCTTTGGAGTTGAGGTGTGAAATACAGCAGTGTCCCCATTCCACCCCCAACAGTGCAGAAAAGAGGCACCTGCAGTCCATTTCCCAGCACCCACAAGCTAGGGCAGATCCGACTCTCCGCTGAGACAGAAGTAAAATCCAGTGATTCGATTAAAACAGATCAGATCAGTTTCTGCACTCTACTGGATTCAAGTAAATCAGGAGGTTTAGCATAAATCTCCACATTCTGCTACTGATTTTTGTTTGATGAAAACAGATTTTGAAATTCTCCTGAATACCTCCACCTCTTAATTTAATGTGGGCACAGTTAATACTCCTCCAGCCCAAGGTTGTTTTACAGGTTAAGCTCTACTCTCAAGAGGATTCCTAGGTTTTCCTCATGTGCTGCTGGCTATGTGACCTGAATCCAAACACAGTTTTTAATGGACGCTCGCCATGTCTGTAAAATAACTGGCTGGGATCAGCAGAGCCTCCAGGCTTCAGGCCAGTGCAGCCCATTTCTGTGGGGACCACCTCCTCCCAAACCTTTTCTAAGATCTGCATTACGTGGTAGAAGCACTGGGACAATTCCTACTGCAGATCTTGGAGGATTAGGAAAAGGATGTTCCATTTCAAGGGTTATCACAGCTTCAGCAGAACGCATGGCTACAGACTAGAAAGTGTGGTATTTTACCAAAAGACAGAGGAAATGCCAAAATCCCCACATCTGCTCAACCCATGCTCAGCACTCACCACCTTCCTCCTGCTTCACACCTTCCCAGCAAACCCACCCTCACCCCCTGCATCCATGTCCCAGCAAACTCTTCACCCTAAGCAGCCATTGGACCATTTGCATTATTTCCCCCTCTTCCTCTACCCATCTCTGCCTTGCAGGTTTGCATTCCCCATCTTCCTCCTTGCTAAGCAAGCCAGAGAGAAGTCTGCCCTGGCTCACTGAGCCCTGACAGAGATGAAGATGCGCAGACGTGTTATACACCAGCACACACGACCTCCAAGAGGTCCCCCTGCCTCGTTGAGCACCGCCACGCATGCCAAGCAGCACCTGCAGCCCATTTCGCCCCTCTTGCCAGCAGCAAAATGAGCAGAATGCACTTTGATTTTAAATAATGATTAATCTAGGAGACTTGCTACCTAACGGAGCTGCTGTCCCACATGGCGTGGTGAGAAACAGGTGCCATTTATATTGAGACATACGGCGTGCCGCTGCCAGTCTCAATGGGAAGTAAATGGATGCCAGCTGAGCTGCTCAAGCCTATCCCAGAAAAGCATCCACAGTTTTTCATGGCTTGTCATTGCACTCACTGTCTGCACTTTATCTCTAGCCTTAAAGCAAGACCAACTCCTTGCCAATACTACAATCATGGCAGCTTAAATACTTTCACAGCTATACTTTTCTTACTTGGTTGCCATACACTACAAGAGTCGACAGGGGAGGTACATTGGGCAGTGTAGCCTTCACCCAGAGACATCTGCCATGCCAAGGAAGGACTGAACAGCTTAGAGCAGTTCCAAAAGCCCCGATTCCATTCCATGCTACGTCATCTTGATTCCTTTCATGTCTCCACTGGTTTATATCCATGCTTTGTAAGTGAGGTAAGCAAGCAGATTTGATCATCAGAACCAGTTACGTGCTTGCCCAGAGTTGTTGTGCAGTCTCCAACCATGGAGATCCTCACAGCTTGACTGGCCAAGTGACCCTTCACTGAGCAGGGCTTTAGGTTGGACAAGTTGAGAGGCAGATAGCCTGTACAGATTGCCCAGTCCTTTAAATTAGAAAGGTAGGGCTGGAAATCTAGCAAGTTCTCTTTATAACTACCTAGCATGTGCTCTTAGTGATCAGATTGCCAGTAACACAAGAGCCACTTATCCCATGTTTTATCACAGAATTCTTACTTGAGACAGAGGTCCAGACAAAGTTTACTTCCATTGTTGCGGACCTCCAGGTGTTTGGCAATGCAGAACTGTAATAAAGCAGCGCAGCTTTAGTAGTTTACATTCATAGACACAGCATAAGAATGGCAGATATAAAATTCCCTGCCAAGCACTTGAGAAAACTAAATGACAATCAAACCAAAGAAAACACTGCAAACATCCCATTATCAGCATCTGCCTGCCTGCCCATCACCTACACAATGCTCAGAACTGAAACAAGGACATTAGCACATGGAGCGAAGGGCACCCGTTATCTTGAAGCATGAGAAGAGATGATTTTGGCACAAGGAGCCTGGCTGTGATGCAAAGCATATCAAGCTCCCTTGCATGACTGCCTTCCATGGCTTCATCACTTCAAACCCAGTTGGCTCAGGCAGCCCAACCAGCCCGACACGGCTGGTGGCTCCGTGTAGGAGGCAACAGCTCGAGTTTTGCTTCTGCATCAGGTCTGCTTCAAAAGTGCTTGCAGAATACTCAAGCCTGCAGGAAGCCAGGATCTGCAGAACTTCCCCACTGCACTCTGGGGACAATTCTGTAGACTCTGATTCCAGGAACCTGTCATCATTGGGGCTTTTACATGCCTGCTGTTTTCTGTCAAGAGGACAGGACTGTGCAACAGCAGCCAAGTCCTCATTCAGTCTCCTCTCTCAGGACAGTAGCAGCTGCTTCAAGGAACAAAAAAATCTGACTCCAAACTTGCAATAAAAAACACAACAAAGCATCAGAGCTGGAAATATTGCTGTTAGGATCACGATAGCATGATTCAGTAAAAGAAAATTAGGTACAGCTTCACTGACAATTTTCCCGTACTGAGTAGATTATGATCTATTAAGGAGTCACAGACACTGGAAGAGGGTTTGCAGCTTTGGACATTTAAGACAAAGCTGGGCAGAGTGCAAGAGAATATCCTGGGGGGAGCAGCCCTGCACCAGCAGGAAGATGGATGAGATATTACTGACCTGATATTTTCCATCTTTAATTTCTAGAGCTCTATGAAATATTCATTATGGCAGGCCGACATGCTCTACCCTTAATGCTGCAGTCGGCTAACTGCAGACAATCTTCCCGCCGTGCTTCAAATCACATTCTGGGCTAATAAACTTGCCAATGAATCAATCAAATCCTGTTATGAGGTTAATCCTTGAATTGTTATTAGGACTAGAGATTTGTCTCAGTGCGTTATGAAAAGTCACAGTGCACTCATGAGAATGAACAGAGGGACATCTATAAAGTTTATAACTTAAAACAACAATAATAAAAAGCTATGGGTTGCATTAATTTAATAAAGATGACTCTTTTCCTTTGAAAAACTCTCTTGCCATGGTTAAGTTACATAAATTTAAGTATCACTCCCAAAAAGCAAGATCAGCAGTGCAAGCAGGGGAGCATGGCAGGACCCAAGAGCAAGTTAAGCAACAGCCCAAGAGCCAGGGCTGAGCTCCAGCAAGAGGTGAAGTCACTAGGAAAATCTGCATTTTCTCTTTGACTTTCTATCTGTCCTTAATTGAGGCACTGCCCCTGATGGAAGATTTGTATTAAGTTTTCCTGTTGGCCTTTCCTTCTGTGAGTGAACACCCGTGACTACTGAGATCATTTTGATCCCATACAAGCCAGATCTGAGCTGCCAGATATGTATTTACAGCAAGTCAATTACCCACCTTGCTGCAAGGGTATGTATGCCACTTAAGATGAAGAGGTGCTTCATCAGCTTCATTTTTGCATGTGTAAATTAGCAATAATAATGTATTCACCTATCTCACGAGGCTGCTGTGCAAATTAAAGCATTAATATTTGTACAGCACTTGTAGGCTCTCCAATGGGAAATTCTGTAGATGTACAAAATATTGAGTTTTGTCTGAGATAAATTTATTATTAGCTTAATGATATTGCGCTGTTATTATGAAAAGCATAATCATCTTGAGATTTTCCTGCTTGCCACCTGAAAACAGACACGGTATCTGGTTTGGAGTTGCATTTTTCTCCCTCTGATTTCTCCCCAGTGTTCGTACATACCCAAGTGCGGCAAGAATTACGAGGAATCCATGTCGACGGTGAACGTTGTGATGGAAAACTTCCGAAAGTATCAACGCTTCTCCTGCTTCTATGATCCTGAGGGCACTCAGAAGAATGTGATATTGACCAAACTGTACAGCTCCAACGTGCTGTTCCACTCGCTCTTCTGGCCCACATGCATGATGATCGGCGGTGTTGCCATCGTTGCGATGGTAAAGCTGACTCAATACCTTTCTCTCCTCTGTGAGAGAATCCAAAGGATCAACAGATAAGGATGAAAACTCCTCCAAGAGTTAATTACAGATAAAATACTGTTTTCTCATTCTTCACCAAAGAACCTTAAGTTTGTAATGTGCAAGTCTGTTGTAAGTTCCTTACTATATTCTTATAAGTAGAGCAATAATGCAAAAGCTGTTCTATATGCAAACATGATATTATTATGCAGACAACTGAAAAAATTACTGTTTGTGTTGACGATCTTGTTTGATGCTGAGACCTGTACTTCTTTCCTTTCTACAGCCAGAATTGGGCTCAATGTGACCATTTGCCAAACTCAGTCAATTGACTTTCTCAGTGTAAAGGATTCTGGGGAAATTCACGCCTGGAGAAAAGGCAGCAAATGACTTGTGCATCACTGAGGTCTCACCTCTGGCTCAGCCCTGCCAATGGATTTCTGGTTTTGCCTTGTTATTGGTTGCAGGGGAAAAAAGTAGGGAAACAAAACAGGTTTTTTTGTGAGCAGGTGGCACCACACAGACTACTGCGAGGCCAGGATAAGTATGAGTGTTTTCTGCCTAAGTAGGACTTGGTGATGCTATGTGTTAGCTCCCCCAGTTCAGAAGTAAATTTTACCCAGTGGTATGTACAGTCTTTTGCAAACACTTTGGAGTTTTATTTATTTTATGCTGTATTTTCCTTCTGTCTTACCAACAGCATCTTTGTCATCTGCAGAAGCTGTAGCAAAAAAAAAAAAAAAAAAAAAGAAAACCAACAAAAATCACCTTGTTCCATTTTGTACTTCAGTGTGAGCCCTGCTGATGGAGATGGGACCAGAACACCTTATGTAAAGGTTTATTACTCATTTGTCATGTATTTGCTACCATATCACTGTAAAGAAAAAGTAACACAGCTATTTTTTCATTTTTTACTTCCAACTATTTTAGATTTTTTTACTTGATATATATATACAGATATACAGATATATATATATATAAAGAAAAGCTATATTATATCTAGTTGTGTATCAGAACTTGATTATGGGATGGTGGCTTTTTTGTTTTTACCAACTGAGAAGTGAACAATGTAACTCATGTATTCATAACCTTCAGCCTTGGATAATATCCTAACGTGGAGGAGCAGCACCACAGGATCCCATCCAATATTCATGATGTTGTGTCAGGCAAAGGTCCCTATTGTTGTAACATCCGAAATGACAAAAATCTAATCCAATTCCACAGCTCTTATTAACTGAATTGTTAGGTAATAATCATAATACTTCTGGAAATCTCTCCTGACCTCAACTCAGCGTGCAGTTCTGGCTGAAGTGAATTCTGATTTAAAATGCCCAGGTGCAAGGATTTATTGGAAATATTCATGTTTTTTCTAACATGCTGTCCTATCTGTCATTTATTTACCACAGGAATATTGCAGGTCTGATTTCATACACACGCACACACACACACACACACAATAGTCATGGTTTCTGCATAATTTATTTTTATTCCCCGCATAGAAAACATTCCTTTTTATGCTGTGTTTAAAGGTACCTCTCATAGTTTCTCACTTTGCACTTAGTCTGAAGGACAAATGCAGGGCGTGAACTCACTGCCCAGTGATTCAAAGGAATCATTCACAGGCCTATCCAAGCCAAGAAACTAACATTTTACCCCTCAAAAAGACTGCAAAGCAAATCTTCTGCCTCCTTCATCTCTATGTAAGTACCTTTCTGCAACATAGCATAAAAATTTTCAAGATATTATGAAACTGTACAAGTCACGCAAGTGTAACACGAGCTGTTAAAAAGAGTTCTAAGCAGTGAAAATGGAGCTGCAATCTTGTAATCAGTAGTATAATTTTCCTTAGGTAAATAAATGCCTGAAGGGCGGGGGGAGGGATAATCAGGGTTCCAAAGATATGTAATAAAAATATTAAATTAAATCTTCTAGATTTCAATATCTTCTGCATTCAGATTTGGCTTGTTTCATTAGACTTTCCTTTATAGCTCCTGCAGCTAAGAAATGAGGAGTGCTGATGCAACAGGGAATTGATGAAGGTTTCTGTGTAGAACATTTTCTGGATCAATTTGTGCAATTCACATGGATCACAGCAGATCTGGGCGCTCCCACCATCAGCAGGACCGGTGTAGCAAAATCTTCGTTGAGCAAAAATACTCTGTCCTCAGCCAAAGCTGGCCCTTTTGGGACAAATTCAAGACCAATATAGCCACATGGCTCCCAGTTTTCTTCCTTTACAACACTGCTTTCCCTTCAAGCAGAGGGGCTTGCCCCGTGCTGGTGCACAACTGTCCCCTATTCACCCCCCTGCTACCACCCATGCCAAAGGGAGAGCCACGCTGCCAACCTCAGCTCACAAATCCAACATCACCCCAGGTCCGTGCATGACAACCAGGCTGCCCATGTCAGTGCTGTTTGGTGCTGATGGAGCTCCTGAAACACACCGCATGCTGCACTTGCTGTCAGTGCTCCCTGTGGGTGACACACCTTGATGCTGCTGCTTTCTGTAATCATTTTGTTGACATTAACAGAGAGATCTGTGCGATAGCAAAATAACTTGAGTAATTGGATGGAGCGAGGTAAAACAGTAATTTTAAAGGGAATTGACTGCCTGGCACAGTTAACCCCCCACAGAAGCGTTAGCACTGCAAACACAATGTTGACAGTTCCTGCTGCCTCAAAGAGGAGTGCTTTGGTGGAGATGTGCTGCTCCTTTTCTCTGCCACCATTTCAATATCATTTTGAGTGAAACTGGTATTCTTGTAGGCAGCACAAATGAATGAGAAACATCCCCTATCCACACACTGCTCTAAGGGTGAACTTGAGTATTCACACAAACCCACCACATTGGAAAAGGTCACTAAAATCACCTACACCAACCATCATCCCATAATCACCACGCCAACTAAATGCATATGCTTCTTGGCACAACCATCTCACACCACATCCAGCTGGGACAGGAAGGAGCAACTGGGGCTCCTTCAACAACTTGGGCAAAACTCCCAATGGAAAAGCGTCACAGGAAAACGTCAGCACAGTGCCTGGACACACTGGGGCCCGCTCACGAAACTTAGGGTATGTGTAATATTGCAGATGCCACATTCACACAGTCTTTTAATAGGTATTTTCTTAATTAGATTATTTACTTCAGGTCTTATTTCTGTTCTGGAACAACTGTGAACTAGAAGTGTGACCAACCCTGCTGCAGTTCTCTGAAACTTGGCACTTTCCTGCAGACTTACTAAATATCACCAGCTAGGACAACAGAGAGCACAGTTGGGTTTAGCTTGTCTGAGCAGACATCTCTTTTATCTCAAAACATACCCAGAAAACAATCAGTAGAAGTTGGAGCTAAATACAGAAAGGGGGCTCAGGAAATGAGAGAGCTGCACACCTTGAGAAGACACAGTGCCACAGTCGCAGATCTGGCACAACGTCCCAAGGCAGGCTGGGGACACGGCCACTGTCCCCACCTTGGGGACTCACTGGTCCTTCATCATGGCCACATCACAAAGAGAGCACTGCTAGCCAAAGGCAAGCCTTGTGTGTGCAAAGCGGAGTACTTGGGCAGCACAGCAGCATTTGCTCACATTGAAGCATGCATCCCAAAAGCGGTGCCCAGCAGAGGCAGCTGGCATGGCACAAGGTACAGTGCAGCTCAGTGAAATGACTCAAAGCTGTGCCTGCTGTTGACCTGGTCAGGCAGGCTCCAGCACCTGTGTTACAGAAACTGCAGCCCTACAGCAATGCAGTGAAACCTCTAGTGGAAACTGCAACTTACCACACCTTAAGAACTGGACAGCTAATTCCCCTTCTCATCCAATAATGCCCATACTAATAGAGCTTCAGCTTTCCAAGGGGACTGAACCAGTATCTCTGCAGTAATGCAACCTTGCAGTCTCAGAACCTGAGCATGATAGCATCAGCTCTCCATTAGCTTCTGCACTGCTTGTCATCTATCATAGACCCAGGGAAAAGAACACTTTCTTGCTTCACTGAGCAACCTGAGCTCGTCACTTCCCAGCACTCGGAGTCCAGGAGGAAATCGCTGTTTGTGACGTACCCAAACATTTCACAACTGTATACAGACTCTTCTGAGTGGTTTGGGTTATCTGAGGAAAAAGTATAAACTACTTAGTTTGAAATGTTTTGAAAACAGAATGTTTCCATTTCTCAGTTTGACCCACTGCTGCCTGCTGAAATCCAGGAGAGGGGCAGCTTTCCTACTAGGGATGCTTGAGAAATAAATATAATAGTTCCTCTGGTGCGAAACAAAGCTATTGGCAATTGCTCGGTTCAGTGAATGTTTTGAAGAATTTATTTTTAGAGGCTGATTGGTGACACGTTTCTTCTCTTCCATTCTCCTCAACCATCAGAGGAGCATGGGATCGGTCACGGGGACACAGCCACCAGCAGCCCTCCTAACAAACCCCAGAGACATCACTGATCACAGCCATGAGTAAAGCAAAGCATCAGAGTCTACAGCACCACAGCACCAGGAGGGGAAGGAGAAAAGTAGCATTTATCCAACCATCACCAGGGTAGCAGTGGTGCAGCTGGTGGCAGCTCCCAGTGCCAATGTCCCCGGCAGCCTAGAGAGGTCTACTTTAATTGGAAATGCTGCCAGGTAAACTGACACCAGGCTTGCCTTCAGTTTGCTAAACCCAAGATGTTTTGCTCCCTGGGGGCCAAACACTGAAGCGCTCAGACCCCCACTCAGCATGGCCACAGAGCTGGGTGCTCCCAGGTTGGTGCCGAGCAAGGAAAGAACACAAGCACTGCCAAACCAGATGCAGAATGAGAGAGCTGCCAGGCTCCATAGCACAGGATATATCCAGCAAGAAGGAGCTATGTTTGGGGCTGCGATGGACTTTGCTGCAAGTGAGCAATTTGATCAACCTCACTCAAAGCCTGATTTTCTGCTAACACTATCACACTCCATTTTTCACTTTTAACTCCGACACATCCTATTAGGGACACAGGCAGAGCTAACCAAAAGGCTTTCCCCATGCTAAGGAGTATCAAAATTAGAACTGCCATTAAAAGGAATTCAGATACTCTTCTGTCAAAATTAGGAGGCCTTTATTCCATCACAATTCTTCCTGAAGTTAAGAAAATTCAACCACAGTTAAGTCATCAATGCCTTGCTTTACACTTGTGCACAACAGTACGGTCAGCTAGCAGAAATTCACAAGGCACATGATGCTTCTGATGTCCCTGCATTAGCTCTGTGCTGCTGAGCAGTCACCTGAAGGAGGGAGAACATCTGCAGTCCCAGATTTCTGCTGCCATCTCTGGCAGTCCTTCATCTTCAGCCAATATCATCCTGGCCACAAATAGCAGATTAATGATCTGGGAAATGTGTTGCTCTCTCATATCCTTTCTGAGTCCCCTCCCACCCCTTCTGGCCTCTCTCCCTGTGACAAGGTGGCCATGCTGATCTACACGCATAGAACAGCAGGAGAAGCAAAGCCCAAGAGCCATCTGCTTCCCATCAGAGTGCTATGTCGCTGGAGTCAGCACTGATCAAAATCCATATGCCTGCCCAAGGAAGCCTTGGTGTCACCAGCTCTCTTGTCTTGGGAGCTGACTGCCCCCCAGCAGCTTACTACAGACCCACTGCTACCACCCCAAGGATCCAGAGCTTGGCAAAGATTTAATCACCGCTCCAAGCCCAGAGTCACCCTTCTGTGCCTGCACAGCCAGGGATGGGCTCATCCTACGCTCTGTTGTATGGCTGACAGTAGCTCTTAGACCTTTCCTCATGTCACTTCAGCTGAGCAATAAGCTTGAGCAACAATTACTTCCAGTCTTGGATAAAAATCTCCTGTTCTGATGCTGTTAAATTATGTAGAACAAGATTATAATTACATACTAAAAAAAAACCAACCCAAACCATACACTTTAAAGAACATTATTCAGGTTGCAAAAGCAAGCACTCTAAAGTTTCAAAATGCCAGAACTAGAGCTGCCTGAACAGTTTTCATGCAGCACTGTTTGTATACATGCATTATGATACAGACTTTACCTATACAGTGATATACCACTTCTCCACTGGACACCCGGCCCTGAACCAAGTGGAAGAAACTGAGTTTATAAGTCACTGCTCTACTTCTTTTTAATCCTTTTTGTTCTGTGTGCCTTCAATGCGTGACAGAGCTACTGTCAATTGCTGCTCATCCAGCAGAACCCTATGTCTCCTTCTCCGAGGCTCAAGGCTCTCTCCAAAGACAGCCATGCCAGACCTAAGCAGTCTAGCTCAGAGGTGGGCACCAGAAGCATGCAGATTGAGCTATTTTTTGTGGCACAGTATCACGTAAAGACAGCTTCTGCACCCAGCACAGGGTCAGAAGACATCTGATGTTCTTCAGCAGAGGATATGGTGAGGATGAAGAGAGGCTGATGGAGAGCCTCTCTGCCCCCAGAATCCCGCAGATCCTTCTCCTGCTTGACTCTGCCAACGGCCAGGCTGGTGCAAAATAAGACTGCTGGGCTCTGCTCTAAGCTGAGCTGTGCCAGAAATCCCATCCACCAGTTCCTGTCACCTCTCCCATAGAGATCTGCCAGAGCAGATCAAAGAGAATGAGACCGGCACACAGACTTCCCCTAAAGTCGTAAGTCTGTCTATTCCTCAAGTGAAATATAAATCTACCAACACAGACTCAACAGCTACTGGAGGCCATGTTCCCCCAGTTCATCTGGACATTGTCTATAGGACAGGTCACAGAGGAGGGCGGTTGCGTGCATGGAAAGATGGGAGCTGGCCAACTGCAGCCATCAGCTCTGCACACAGACTGAGGACTCTCCACAAGCCGTGACCGTCCCCACCATGATGTGCAATCAGTTCTCAGCCATGGTGCACATCGCCACATCACAGCAAAATGTGGTGAAACACGATAAGGCAGTGAAAGAAATGAGGAGGAAATGAAGTAAAACTAATTGATTTACCTGGATTTTTTTTCTAAATGTTTTTCCCCATGGTGACTAGTGCTGCACAGGCAGCAGAGACTGTGTCAGAGTCTGTATCACTCACGTGTTTACTTATAATGTCTACAGCTTTTTTTATTATTATTATTAAGCCTTTGGTCTGAATCTGTTAGAGTTCATGCTCACTGACTCCAAGATATCTCCAGCATAGGAAATGTAAAAAATTAACACAGTCTCAATGTATAGATAGCATACTTGCACCATGTAGTATCTCCTGTTCTTCAGGAAGCAAATAAGCATATGCGCATTGTGAAACATCAAGCATTATAAACAGAAAAAAAAAAAAAAAAAAAGAATTACATCTGTCAACTCAGCATGACGGGGTTCCCTGGTAAATAAGGCAATGCACTGAGACAAGGACTGTGCAGATATTCAAAGCTTGGACGTGCCCTCAGAACTATGAGTTTCAGTTCAGACCTGAACCTCACTGCCCATTAGTTTGGCATGTCTCAAGAACACAGATTCTGACAGTAGGTTCACAGGTTACAGGACTGTTGCAGGCCCAAGAGGCACTGAGGCTGCAAGAAGAGCAAGTACTGCAAGGAATAGCCCCATATTCCTGCATCTGCCATGCTGACCTCTGCAGTCTCCAGGGCTACGTCCAGTCTAAAGGGGTGAATACTCAGACAAAGCACTCCTCTGACTGCACTTCCATGGAGGCAGCAAGCACAAGGATCAGGAATCAGCAGAGCTAGAAGCAGTGCTCCAGAGCTGTAGCTCCACATCTGTGCATTCAGATGGCCTCTGGATAGAAGTGCTGGCACAGTGACAACCTCACAAATCATTGTGTATGCTTGCAGAAGTAGAGCCCTTAACTGTACCTGTTGGTACCTGCAAGCACACTGTCCTCACACAAATCTGGGGGCTCTGAAGTGGTTTAAGTCAGCAAAATATAGGCCTGGCCAGCAGAAGAGGTTTGCATTTAGTCAGGATGCAACTGAAAAAATGAGCAATAAACTGTGCCGAGTTCAATGCATCCCTGATTTGGGTCAAAGTCCTGCAACATCCACAAGAGGGCCACCACTCTCCTGGACTGGGTGCCATGGGGGGCTCATCAAACAGCAGCCCTTTCACCCATACTTTGGCAGGCAAATAATTAAATTACAACTCCATTTATCTTGGAGATTTAAATCAAGTCACAAGTTGGCCAAGGCACAGTGCTGAAGGGTTAACACCAGCATTTGGGTGTTTATTTTAAGAAGAGCATAAAGCCCTGACAGGCCATAATTACAGTGTTGATAAGCAGGGAAAGAATATTTGATGTTTCAAATATCACATGACTAATTGGTGCTGGAACAGCTGTGCATGTAAATCGGGTGATGTGATGTGTGTGGCAAAGAGGAGGGGTCTCCACGCTGACTGCAGGCCTGGTACTGCTCAGCCACACATCCCCCCAATACCCCAATACCACCAGAGTGTGGGGCCACCTCGTCCTTGTCACAACATCAGGCTGAAGAGATAAGAGAATAACACACCCTTATTTCTGTTCTTTGGTCACCTTTTAGGATTGGGTTTCTAAGTGGAGCATTACAGATGCTCCACACACCAGTGTTGATATTTTTCAGCTGCTGACAATGACAACACTCACAAAATCCTCAGAGTATGCTCTGGTTTGCAGAGGATAAGGTGGAAGGCAGGTTTCTTTTGTTCCAAAACCCACCTAGATTTCCTCATTCAGCACATCAACTGTTCTTTTCTCAGCTAAACATCATAGAATTATTACTCTTGGAAGACCACTAAAATCACTGAGTCCAACAATCAACCCCCCTCCACCATAATCACCAACCATGTTCTTAAGTGCCACGTCTACCCTACCTACAGTATACAGGAAAACTAGTAGCCCTCCTGGTGCCACTGGAGCAAGGAGCTCCAGAAATAACCACCACCAATTCCAGAAGGAAAGGAACAAGCCCTGGTGACACTACCAAACCTTCAGGCCCTCCACGGTGGATTGCTTCCAGTCAAGCAGGACATCATCTCCTTTTCCTTATGCTTCTTTCTGCACTGGAGGCCTTTCCATCTCCAGCCAGATGAGAGGATAAGTAAGTACAGTTCAAGCTATTTTTACTTAAGAGAGAGATATATATTTCACTGCTGCGTCTCCCTCTCCCCTTTCCAACTTTGCCTCTCCAGAGGCAGAAGCAATAAGAATTGCATAAGTTTCTCTACCACGTGTTGCTTAAGAAAATCTTTTTCCTCCACAGTCCATAGGAGAACTATGAACTATTTTTCAAGTAGAGCTTGGTGTGATAAGAGCCTTTAATTAGTAGATAAAAATGTGTGCACCAGAAATCAAAACAGAGTTTGATTTCTTTCTCTCTCCTTTTTTTTTTTTTTTTCTTAGGACACCTTAAGGAAAAAAGTACTTGGGTATGACTTCTTATGACCAAAAGTTTCTGATGTTCAGTAGGGGAAGCCATCTGCTCCACAGAAAGGGGAGAGAATGCCAGAGAGCAACACAAAGGGCTGAGCATGTGGCAAGGTCAGGATGGGGCCAGTGATGTCCCCTCAGAAGCTGTCCACAGCCCAACAGTCACAACAGCATTTGCTGGTGATGCATCTTCGCAGTACTAACCCAAAGGCACAATTCACAGCCAGATTTTGGAAACAAGTGATAGAACTCCTCCAAGGGCTCCTCCGTGTGGTCGCCCATTGACACCTATGTGCCTACACACCCAGTTGCTGAAGGAGCTGCACCCCTTGCTTACAGCCTAGAACTACAGCTGGTGAAGAAATGTATTGCTTTTCCTTGAAGCACTATAGTCCTAGAAAACTATTTCCACCAATAACCTGTTCTAGTCCCACTTACAGCATAACAGCATCAAAAGCAATAAGTATATTTAGGTCTCCAAGCCCATATAGATTCATCCATAGCATGATACATACCTGGGGAGCGCTGCTAGGAGCCAGGAAACAAGCCAACATGCTGCATGCAAACCTAAAACCTTCCAAAGAACCCACAACTGCTGCTTTAAGCACTTTTAAAGCCTAGGACTGAAGGCCCAAACTGGCCTTAACCATCCCAATCAGAGCCACCTGTGGCCCCCACCCCCCCTGACCTCAGCAGCTGTGCTGGAGCTCCATCCTCCCACCTGTGTGTGTGCTCCTGGGCCCGATGTTATTCTCCACATTCCTCACTCAGGGGACTGCCATCGTCAATCTCATCCCCATCCCACCCTGGGGATGGCACTGGGAGTCACGGTTTCACCTCTTCCTTTCTGCAAAGCTCAGTGTTTCACTTTAATTGTGTTTTGGCTAGAAGCTGCAGAAGAAGAAAATGATTATGGGTTTTACTATCTCTTACAATTCAGCACAAGTGGCACGGAGCAGCTGTGGCTGAAATGATGAAGTACTTACAGTGCTTTTTTTTTTTCTGTCACAGGTGTTTCTCTTCTACTATAATAAAGACTCACTAGTATCACACTAACAAATAAGTGTACATTGATTAAACCTACTGACACCTGGTTCCAAAGCCAGTAAGAAAAACAACTTGCAAATGACCCTCTATTCATATACTTTTAAAAATCTCTTTATTTGATATATATTATCTTTATGGTCTCTATGCCACATGCAGCAGCAGTGCAGGGGTTCTTGCTCCAAGAATGTTATTGCATTGTGATATTTTCATCAGTAGCTCTCTGGGAGGTATATCTAGAGGTCTTTAAGTGGAATCTAACAGAAAAAATGTTATTGCTTTTTTCTAGTATTTTCTTTTATTATTTCACCTCCCACTGGTAGTAGGATATATAATGCTGTACCCACTATGCATTTAAAACCAATATAATTTTTAAGAATCATTCTGGAGTTAATCCACTATGACCGAAGGTGAGATAATTTAGGAGTTCATTTAAAATACACTAACATTGATTTCTGACTGCTTTTCCTCCCACAGGGTCACAAATCAAGGAGGAAAGCTGTCAGGCCCTGGCAGCACACCTATGCAGTGACTCTTCTATGAGATCCTAATGTGGGATCCTACAGCTCAAGCTTTTCCTGCTTCCTTGCTTCCAAAATAACGTGGGTGGGAAGGAGAGAGGCTCCTTTGGAATTATTTTTTTTTCTTTGTGTTAGCCTCTGTGTGAGAGGAAGGACATCAAAGGGAAGCAGTCAGGCAGTAGGTGAACCACCATCCAAGTGGCAGGGGGGAAAAAGGTCAGTAAGGAGACAGGCTTTGGTTTCATTCACCATGGTTTCTGTAGGTTACAAAGCCAAGCTTTGGGAAAGCTTGGAAAAAAAACCCAACAGAGTGAGACACAAAACAAGAATCCTAAAAGCAGCAGGATTTTTAACTGCAGCTGATGATCCAGCTCCCAAGCAGACAAATTACTTTGTGAGAAAAGTGGTGCAGCCAGCCCCTTTTCAATTACGGAAAGCTAACACAATCAGCTCCTATTCTTTTTAAATAGATCTGGTGGGTTTAAATGAATGAGCATAATATGTGGTCCATTTATTTTCAGGAACACTGCAGTGAAAGTTGCTTCATGGAATCAGTCCAAAAATCCTGACTAAAGAAAATCAATAGGAACTATCCACCTTTCTTTAAATAATAATTAAGAATAAAAGGTATTTTCTTCCTTAAAGCTCAATTCACTGTGGCACCGTTACTGACCTTGCTTAAGACCCACTCAGTGTTTTTTATGGGGGCTTCCTTCAGCCGCATTTGCAGAAGCTCCTGTTCCTCAGGCTATAGGGTTAACTACAGATCTGCTTGAGGCTGAATTGCAAAGGCAAAGTTCATCTTGGAAACCAAGGGTGATGGCTTTTTGTTGTCACTTTGTGTGCGAGGGGGGGAATTAATGTCCTTGTTGCCTGTATCAAGGCACCAGTTCCCCATGATGTACTCCCCTGGTATGGCCAATCTGTGTTTGCTATGGTTGAATTAGGAAGTCTGCCCAGCCCAGCCTGTGGCATTGCTGCCCATAGCACTCCAGTTCTGAGGCGTTTGCCGTGGTTTGGGGACTTTGTGGGTTCAGCAGACCCAGCCATTGAAGTGCTGGTGCAAGTCGTGATGAAAGTTGTTCAGCACATGCCCTGGAAGAAGTAGTTCTAATAATCCATTTGGTCTCTCTTGATTAAATACTTTGCTTTCATTAGGCAAAGAAAAGAGTCCCTGATGGTTTCTGCTGCATCTGTCACGATAGCACTGGGCAACACATTTGTTGTTTGAGATTTAAGAATGAGTCACTGGCACTCTGGGACATGAGGTCCTCACCACCAGAAAGCAAACGGTTCTGCCAGCAATTTTCCCTCTCAAACACTGGCTTAGCTCAGCCATGGCTGCATGCAGCCCCACTCTCATCATTAGCAGCCATCAGCAGGTGGTTGTACTTGCTCTCAGAACAAGATTAAACGAGATGCACACTTCTGGCATTTATAGAAAGCTGCTCATTCTCCTGCCTGTACCAGCTTACGTAGCCTGGCTCCTTGTGAAGGGCTGTAGGAGGGTGCAAAACCTGGCTATCTTAAATGAAGATACAGTTATTCTTTTCAACATCACATATCATATATTGTTCTTGTATATCATATATCTAATAGACAAAACAGTCTCTGGAGTTGGTGGGGTAGGTATCTCAGAAAACATGGAGGTTAAGATGAGAAAGTGTCTATACCAGACTTAAAAATGTATGACTGCTTAACATTAAACGGCAGTCAATTAAATTGAGGTAGAAAGTGCCCATAGTGGACAAACTCAGAGGAAAAGAACTCACTCTGCTGTATATGTTAATTTTAAATCACTGGACCTGTGATTTCAAAGCTAAGTCTTTTCCAACATGACCAAGGATTAATCTTCATTCACATTCCAATGGAGATAAGTAAATTGCTTAAACAGTCATTTTTCAGTTTTTCTGTGCTTTAGGAATAAAAGCATCAGGAAGGAGGGGAAGGGGATTTCCCTCTCAGCACTGTACCCAGGCAAGTCCAGGAATCATCTCAGCTCCCAGCCATGAGGCTGTATTGCTCCCAAGTATGAAGAACTGAGATCTTATTTTCTTTTTGTTCCAAAAATTGAAAGGCTTGGGATAACATTATGAAATTGGAATCAACAGCCAAAGAGAGAGAACTGTACATATTTTATTGCAAGAGCTTTCACTGGGACAACATTAAGGGTATTTGCTTTGCAGCAAATTGTTACTATGTGCAGTATATGGATTTCTTTCAGACTCTTTTCATTCTCTCTCTATTTAAAAAAAAAAAAAAAAAAAAAAAAGAAAAAAGAAAAAAGAAAAAGAGTGTTAACATTGCTCAGGAAATTATTAGGGATTCACTTTGTGGCATCTGAAATTAATGTAAATTGAAGGCAGCCTTGCAGGTGCCAAAGTGAGGTTCTGAAGTTTACTATGATGTGAAGCAGAGAAAGAGCTGAAAAAGCATGAAGATACTCATCAAAACACTCCATTCTACTGCACAGATTTTTCTATTTTCAAAAGGCAGCAGAGGTGAGACTATCATAGCAGTTAAATGGATGTTTTGTTGAGCTAGCACATATAGATAAATGAATCCTCACTGTGAGATGCGAGTGAACAAAGAATTCGTCAGAGCTGGGGCAGCCCGTGGTGCCCCAGCAAGGAGCCCTGCTCCCCACACACCCAATCTGCTGCAACTAGTCATAGAATCATTAAGGTTAGAAAAGACCTCTAAGATCACAAAGTCCAACCATCAACCAAGCCCATCATGTCCACTGGCCACATCCCTCAGTGTCATATCTGCACAGTTCTGAACACCTCCAGGGGCGCTGACTCCTCAGCTCTCTGGGCAGCTTGTGCCAATGCACCACTGCTCTTTTCCTAATATCCAATCTGAACTTCCCCTGGCACAACTTGAGGCCATTATCTCATGTCCTATCACTAGTTGATGTGCTCCAACCCACAAGAAAAATCCCAGTCCCATCAGTATTTCTTGATATTTGCACTTATTTACTGATAAATAAATACCTGTGTACTCATAAATAAATACCCTGCACACAAGCCAGCAGCATACATTAATAGGTCACTTCAGGTGCTGTCCTTGACAGGAGGGTCTTGTTATCAACTCAAACAAAGAGGAAGGAGGGGGCAAAGTATGTGCGTCTGGGATTTAAGTAAAAGTGGTCAAAGCTCTGGCATTAATCTCCTATGGAACCCAGAGCAAAGCACGTATTTCTGCTTTCGTATCCCATATACAGAATTAATTCAGTTGTACCCAGTAGTTGTGAAAAATCAGCAGTCAAGAGTGTAAATAATGCAAACGTAAAATAGGCTTTGCAGTGAGAAGAAAATAGATGGCAGCCCTCGCAATCCTAGCTGAGGACAGATGTCTCCAGATGCCTCTGGGAGGGATGATATGAGAGAAGCCTGAGAACCCCCGTACAACACAATTTTCTATTCTAAGGCACTGGAAGTTTATAATGGCCCCAGGTGCTTTGGTTTAGATCATTTAGTCTGTTTTGCTAGCAAATATCACCATGTGCTGATAAGCTAAATTTCAGCAAACGTTGGTACAGTCAGCAGGGAGCCAGGTTTGCTCTACTCTTTAAGTTCATCAAAGCACATTCTTTTTTGCCTTTTTTTTTTTTTCCTTCTCCTTTTGACTGAAGTACTGCAAACACTTTAGATCACAATCTGAATAAAGAACCTCACACAGCAAACACACGCTGCAGTCTCAGCACCCATTGCTGAATGGGTCCACCTCCCTTTGCACCTCCTCAGTATCTACATCAATTGCACTGTGCCCACTGCAGTGAACTTGGCACTGGTACGCAGCAGCTTTCCAGGCTGCGGAGCTCAAGCCAGTTATCATTCATTCCCAGGTGCTGTAATTGGCCTTAGAAACCTGCATGTCTTAATTCCTGGGCCCCAGCCCAGCTCTTGGTGGGAGCGCCAAGGTCACTGCAGCCCTCAGGGATCCAGCTCAGAGGGAAAAGGAGGAAAGGCTCCTTTTTCTGTGAATAAAATTGCAGTTCTGACACTCACAGGCTATTTGCTGGAGTGGAGCAGGGCAACAAAGCTGCCCCTTTGCAGGCACAGCCACCACATCCTTTGGTCCGCTGCTGGGTCTGCCATTTTGGAGTCCTCTTCCTCCAGCAGCATGTCAGAGAGCCTCTG